ACATCAACTCGGTCAGACTAATGCGCTAGGGTTAGGCCAAAACCTCATCTCGGTGAGACCAATCACATGAACTCGGTGAGACCGATTTCAGTAATAAGCAAATGGAGACTTGGTCAGGCAAACTCGGTGGGACCAATCGCTCATCTCGGTTAGACTGAAACATTACGAAAAGAAAACAGAGAGTTTGCACTGCGAACTCGGCGGGACCGATCGCTCATATCGGTTAGACCGAAACGTTACGAAGGGAAACAGAGAGTTTGCAAACCCATCTTGGTAAGATCGAGATCCCTATCGGTAAGACCGAACTGATTATGGTTTGTGGATATGGCTATGTCAAGTGAACTCGGTAGCGCCAAATAGATCAAATCGGTGAGGCCGAGTTTGACTTTAGGTTTAGAACATATGTGGAAATGAGAAAGTGGTTGAGGGTTTTTGGAGCATATCACTAAGCATTTTGAGCAAGCAAGCCATTTAAGCAACACCTCATCCCCTTTTAATAGTATTGGCTTTCCTATGGACTCAATGTGATCTTGGATGACTAAAATGAAAATGTAGAGTCTTGAGCTTTTGTCAATATGTGTCCTTAGCATTTTGAGGGGTCCACATCTCTAGTCCATGCCATACCAACCATTGAACTTTCTGAAACATTGATCTTGAAAGAATATTAGTTCAATGAGCTATATGTTGTTATGAATTACCAAAACCACCCGGGGATTAGTTGCACTTTCAGATAGCTTGGCATTGCGAGCTCGAGCAGTGCGCTGAGTGCCGGCAGAACGATAAAGGATGTTGGCTAGGGAAGGAGTTACACGATTTAAAAATTGATACAAGATCCAAAGGTCTAGAGAATTTGTACGGCAAAACTACCTCATAGGCGACTCCGAAGTAAGAACAATTCCTCGTGTGCATTGGCTCAACTGTGGTTTAGCACATCATCGCTACTGAATCGTTGATGTCATCAGAGCCACTCCAGGTAGTAAACCAAGACAATTCAATGCTCAACTTACGTATTATATACTATTTATTATAAGAAATCAGTTTTTATCAACTACAAAATACAAAAGAGTTGCCAACCAATTGGTTGGCACATGGGAGAATGAAGGACACATTTATCTATGAAAGAACGAAGAAATGAGCAATCACAGCAATCCAATGTCGTCCATAGGCATCCCACACAAACTCCTATTACATAAAATCATACTTTTAAAAATCCACATGCACATATATGTTATAAGCTTATGCTCTAGAATTCTCCACTATATCTTTATAGATACTTAAATGGACACTTGCGCATTTAAAAAAACACATACACTAGCATGTACTAATACATGAGATAATACGACTTTGGTTTTATTATTTTACTTACATGTAATAAAGACTAAATTGGATGATATATTTTAGCAATCTCTGGAGTAAAATGAAAAATAATAGAGTAAAATAGCTTTTCTTGTAAAATATCGTGGACACTATATTGCAACAATAAAGGTAAAATATGTCACATGAAACAATTGTACATTAAAATTTAGTAGTATAGCATGCTTGATCGTGCTAATTGTAATAGATAAATACAATATTTATGTTTGTATATTAACAAATTTGTTACAAAGAAGTGAAAGAAATTGGTATAAATATGTATAATTTGTTATTTTGACTCACCTCGGTGACTCAAGTCTGCTGCTGGAAGGTACTAGTGAGGGAAACCTTATGTTACAAATCATCTCTATATCTTCTTAACTAGCAACTAACTGAGATATTATTGATCAATGCAGTGTTCTTTTGTTACTTGATTTAGTGACCATAGTAGTAATGTCAGGTATAAATGATAAAATGAGTGTTAGAACTCTTACATGGGATATTATATGTAACTAATAACTTGGATGAGACAATGAAGATCAAAATATTATTAATAAAAGTGAGATTTCTACCTACCCTAGTATTGCTTGTTATTTTTGAAACACATAACATGGTAAATTAATAATGTATCCTAATAATGCAAAAAACATTTAAATCACATAAATATATTTAAGCGCATACAATATGAAAGGTGATAAGAGCCTCATATCTTTATGTAGTAAAACAATTATGATTTGTAGTTTCTAGGACACAAGGGATATTCCAATTGGCGTCTTACTGTTGAGAAATACAATAACAAATGAAGGCAATATTAGATTCTTAATATGCATGACAAGAATGAGTACACAAAACTTCAGTTGTATGACACAAATAAAAATTCACAGAGAAATGGAATGATAACTAAGTAGTTGAAATCCTGTCATGTTAAGGTAGAGAGCAAAACAAACGAAAATGAATATTGTCCTACACTATTTACGAAAGGAACGATGGGTGTTTCTCCATTTCTTTTTAGTGGTGCATTCTTCTTCATTTTAGTATTACGAGCTTCTTCCACGAACCACAAAATTTTAAGCTAGAGAACGAAAATGTCAAGTATTTATCTTGAAAACAAAAAAAACTTCCATCGAAAGTGTCAAGAAAATCTTTTTTTAACCAAATCCGAAAGGAACCCCTCTAAAATGCAGGAAAAAAAAAGAAAAACAAGCAAATCTAATTTATTATGGGAATGCAACATTTAGTCATAGCGCACATGCAATAATTGGTATGTCAACTGTAATTTAAAAATGTGATCATGCATGATAAATTTTAGTTCACGGGAAGTACAAAACTACCGACACAAAGTCCATTTACCGACATTTTGATCTCCATGTCCACATGATTGTGAGGGGAGGTAAAAACTTGAGAAAGGTGAGTAATGAGTTAAGAGGTAGGCCGACATCAAGAAGGAGGTGAAAAACTAGTAATCGAGGCATATAGGGGCAACAAATACAAGTGAGAAACGAACAACAAATAGTGAGATGAAGCCGAGGCACATGGCGAGTGCGTGAATAGAAGCGTGAGTTATATGTCAATATGAAAAAAGAGATGGAAGCGGGTTAGCATAAAAATAGATGGTAGCAGTCAATCACGGTGCCAAGAGTCGAGTTTTGTGTGGTCAATTCAAATCCATGAAGTCAAATATATGTCTTTGCGTGAATTTTGTAAGTTTTTTGCATGATTTTGAACTCATATATGAGATATTTTTTTGCCAAGAAAAATGAGTAGTCAAGTGACTATACAACCAGCACATTGCTTCGCCATGGGTAACAGTAGAGAAGGGGCTTGGTAGACGAGTCTCAAGGTAGATGATTTAGAGCGATCATCGGAGAAAAATGCCACGCCACACACTCCAAACTAGTAAGATAAACTCTAGCAGAGTTGTAATAGCAGCTCGAATGCCATAATAAGTACTTGTATGGTGATTTTGGCTTAAAGAGCCGGTCAAGCGGGCACTCCAAATCCAATCCACCTGACTCCATGTTCGGAGGTTTCGATGATTTTGGAGCCCTTCATTCCAAAAATGGCTTGGCACGAGAGACATTTCCCCTCCACTCCTCTTTCCGCTCACAAACCCCATCGGTGATGCCATTGAATCTGCCCTAACCCTTGCGCACCATTCCGGCGTCTGGCGTGGGGCACCAAAAAATATGGAGGTCATAGACCTCTTCCTCTCTGGAGTTGGATGGCGGCAAGGAAGATGATGGTGGAGAGTAGAAGAGTACAAGAAGTCCCACTTTGCCATCAAGTATGGGGTGGTCCAATGGGAGGAAGAAATCGAAGGAGGTGGGGCCGATGAAAGACAAAATCGATGAGTGATGAAGTCAAGGAAGGAGTTGCGGAGAAGAGGAAATAGTACATGTTGGAGTTGGAGGAGAGGAGGTTATAAGAGAAGAACGCGGGGTGGAAGGCTATGCATGGAAGTAAAAGAACCAAGGAAGCGATGGAGACCCTTATGCTTAAATTTGAGAGAGAAAGTGGTTAATGCAAGAGAATATAGCCAAGATGAACCAATTGATATTGTTAGATCCAAATGCCATGGATATAATATTAAGGTCATTGTGGGAGATGAAGCGGAGATCGTGTGTTCTAGGATGTAATGAAGCCGCCAATACATCAAAGTAGGCCACGGTGCACACAAGCGGGTCAGGGACTCGTGATTTGTACATGTCGGTTGAATGTGTGCATGATGCTTCATCTTTTGTTGATGCAATTTTCTTATTTTCATTAAGAAATCAGAGCATGACAGATTTTCAAATGAAATGTTGTCCATCAAAGTGTGTGATGTCCAAGGATGAAATAAGGAAAGCACAATTTTTTTTAATACAGTACAATCGAAGTCACACACATACCCGAACATACAGTCACCGCTATGAATACACATGCATACCCTATCCATATGAGTACCTCTTAGAAAGAATTCAGATATGACGACCCTGTGTTTGCACATTATCTCCACAGCCTTCAAAAATTATGGAAGGTGCTCCAAAACGATTTTGGAGGCTACGGACTTACGGACTCGCTAGGGTTGCTCTAAGAATAGGTCTCGGCCAACAGTGTTCCACCACGTCATGAGCAGTGACTGGGTGACGCCATCTGCAGGAGCAAACCGAGTTAAATCCCGTGTCCACCATGATTAAAGGTGCACTAATGGTACTGAAAGAAGGAAGATGTGAAGGGCAAACTCGCGACTTTCCTGACCAAGTCCTCCCCACCACTAAACTAACCAGCCCGGCCACGTCCCCGCCTTCTCTCTCCTGGTTCCGGCGCCCCCACTCCCACCACACCACGCCAGCCATGAGAAATTTCGCCGCCCCAGCAAGCAGCTCAGCGTCGTCGCCCGGTGTCAACCATGACATGATCCACCTCCCGCGCGTGCGTCCCCATATATACATGCGAGAGCGCACGCGCTCACACCTCCCCTCACCAACCCACAAATCCCGAGTCCCAACTCAACTAGTTTGGCGATCAGCTCCCAGTCGATCAAGCAGCTGTCTAGGGATCTCACCGGCGGCTTTAGTCGTTATTAGGGCCTTCTTCGTAAACTTACCCGCCGACAAGGCCGAGACTGGCCGTGGCCGGCCGGCTACATATATACGCCGGAGACTGTCATGGCTGACGGGCTGCCTCCGGGGTACCGTTTCTACCCGACGGAGGAGGAGCTTATATGCTTCTACCTGCGCAACAAGCTCGACGGCAGCCGCGGCGACATCGAGCGCGTCATCCCCGTCGTCGACGTCTACTCCGTCGACCCCTTGCAGCTCTCAGGTAGAACCATCGATCATATACGGATTCCTACGTACGTACAGTGCGTTGCGTCATCCTGCCTCTCACCTGCGCACATACGCAGAGATCCACGAGAGGCTGTGCGGCGGCGAGGGGGAGCCGTGGTTCTACTTCTGCGCGCGGCAGGAGCGGGAGGCGCGGGGCGGGCGGCCCAGCCGCACCACGCCGTCGGGGTACTGGAAGGCGGCGGGCACGCCCGGGGTCGTCTACTCCGCCGACCGCCGGCCCATCGGGCTGAGGAAGACCATGGTGTTCTACCGCGGCCGCGCGCCGTCCGGGACCAAGACCAAGTGGAAAATGAACGAGTACAGGGCATTCCAGCACGAGCACCACGACGACGGCGCCGGCGCACCCACGGCAACCGGGGGTCCCCACGCCGCTGCGCCACCGGTACCGAACCTCCCTCCGCAGGTAATACTCGATGCCACTCATATGTGATATGTCCATCTCCATATGAATCAGACAGACATGGCTGTCACTTTGGCGCCGGATAAGTGCCGATCGAAAAGCAGCTCGCAACTAGCAATTCATCTAGGCATAGGTTTCAGATTGTGTGTGTGATGTGCTTAGATAGTGCCATCAACTGGGATGCTCATCATGACAGCCCCACCTTGTTATTGCACCTTGTTAATACGCTATTCATGCATATATTTCAGAAACTTAATTATTTTACGAATCTGTAGTCTGATGTGAACTTGTATTGTTTTGTAGCTGAGAAGCGAGTTCAGCTTGTGTCGACTTTACACCAAATCGGGGACACTGCGGCAGTTCGATCGACGGCCGGTTGCAGCTGCTGCACGCGGTGACATTCCTGGGCCATCCACGGCAGCCACTGCGTCGCCCGGCGACGGTGACGGCTCCGGTGGATCCATGCAGCCGCTTGAGGAGGAGCTGATGGAGGGAGCTGACGGTGATCCATACGGAGACGATATTGCCACATTGGCTGCTCTTCTCTACTCGCCTACGGACTAGATTATGCATTCGTTTCGCAGATCGAATCTTGAGTAGTTTCGTCTCCATTGATAGATTATGCTCTATCTAAATCTGTAAAACATAAAATTCTGGACAAAAAATGGTCTATGAATTTGAGCACTAGCTAGTTTGTACTGTGAAACTGTAACAGGGAAAAGGGGGAGAAGGGAAGTGACTATTTCTTAGTCGATTTATTTGAAATAACCATTTACCAATGGACATGCATATCCATTTGATGAATACCTCTCCCTATGCACTTGCACGCAGTGGTTACATCCGATGGTTCTTAGCATCAACTTCGAAATACTCTACCTTTGATCTTAGTTGCCTCGGGAAACCAACATGTGACTCGATGGTTAGGAAGACAGTGATATCCCCATCCCACCAGCGTTCAACTCCTAAATTTGACATTGGTGCTTGCATTTTCTTGAATTTATTTCAGGCCTTCGGCGATGTGCGTTCAGCGGGAGGAGATGTTCCCATTGACTATGAATGCGTGTATGACTACTTCGTGAATATCAAGATAATATGTTAGCTCAATCTCTCGGAGATGCTCATAGGGGTGAGACGTGTGTACCTTCATAGGAATGAGTGTATGTGCGTATGTATGAACTATTAAAAGAAATTCCAGTTGCCTCAAGGAACAACAAAAGTGAAAAAAAATCTACATTTAATCTGAAAACAATTTCCAAGTTTAATTTTGATCTTTAAATTCTGAAATCAGAGAAGTTTGACTTTTGGCTTCCAAAACAGTTTAGATATGGCCCCTTATCTAGCTCTGGTTTCACATGTTCGGAAAACTAGTAAAATTAAGGGGGGAAAGTAAACACTATAATACAAAAGAGGTATTCGCATAC